CTGCTGCTGCTGCTGCTGCTGCTGCTGCTGCTGCTGCTGCTGCTGCTGCTGCTGCTGCTGGTGACCCGCGGTGTGGCCGAGGCTAGGCGCTGTGCCTCAAGGGCGCCTCCATGGGAGACGAGGGCAGCCGCCTCGGGTTAGCGGCGCATGGCCAGCAGCAGCAGCTGCTGCTGCAGCTGCTGCTGCTGCGGCTGCTGCTGCTGCAGTGCAGCAGCGACCAGCAAACAGGAAGCCTCTGGCGCAGCAGGGATTAATTGCACAAATTAAGAATAAAACGCACAAGTACAAACTCAGGGAAAAGATAAAACCCCTACTTGATCGACGCCGACACCGCGAGCCCCAGCTTGCGCTCTAGCGTCTAGGGTTTAGGGTTTAGGGTTTAGGGTTTAGGGTTTAGGGTTTAGCGCTTTCTGGGGGGCATTGACTTAATACGGCAGTTCCACAAGAGTTGCCGTCAAAGACAAACACAGGGTTACACCGTAACAGCTGCACAGGGCAGCAGCCCCGACGGTCTCGGGCCACCAGCCTAGGGTTTAGGGTTTAGGGTTTAGGGTTTAGGGTTTAGTGTTTAGGATTTAGGGTTTGTCTTTTCCCCCTAAGAAGTGAGTTCCTCTGCTGCTTTCTGCTTTTCAGCTCAGCCGGCTGTCCGTTGTGTCCGGCGTTAGAGTTTAGGGTTTAGGGTTTAGGGTTTAGGGTTTGGTGTCCCACAGCTTCCGGGCAGCGCAGCGCCTCGCAGCCTCAAAATAGAAAAAAGTGAAAACAAAAGCTGCATTAAAATGGCAATTTTTACATTTTTAACAAATAAAAGAATAAAAATAATAAATTAAAAGACTAATTTCCCCAAATGGATGCAGGCCTCCCTCCCACCCCGACCCCAGCTAAACAGCTGCTGCACTCTTTGCAACAAACTGCAGCAGCAGCAGCACTGGGGCCTTTCAGGCAGCAAAGGGTCAGCAGCAGCAGCAGCAGCTTCAGTGGGGCCCCCAGAGCAGCAGGTGAAGGCCTTGGGGGCCCCGGGGCCTCCCTGCAGCATCGCTCAGCCCTTGCTGCTGCAGCAGCAGCCACAGCAGCAGCAGCAGCAAACACCAGCCAAGCTTCTGCTTTCGCCCCAGGGGCTTCCCCAGAGCCTTCGCGAAGAGGCTTGTCGGCTTAGCTGCCTTGGCGTGCCCGCAACAGCTGCTGCTGTGCTGCTGCTGCTGCTGTGCTGCTGCTGCTGCTGCTGCTGTGCTGCTGCTGCTGCTGTGCTGCTGCTGCTGCTGTGCTGCTGCTGCTGCTGTGCTGCTGCTGCTGCTGTGCTGCTGCTGCAAATAATGACAATGCTATGCCTAATTAAGAAACAGCAAAAATGTACAAACAGCTTTTTGCTGCTGCTCAAGCTGTGGCTTCCTCGCTGCTGCAAGTGTTCTGTGGCTGTCTCTGCTGCAGTGCTTCGGGATGTTCGCTTGCTGCTTCAGCAGCAGCAGCAGCAGCAGCAGAGCAGCAGCAGCAGCAGCAGCAGTTAGAGCGACTCTGTGTGCCTTGCTAGGACTCCAGCCTAGCAGCAAAGAGCTGGGGCTTCCAGCAGGTGTTGCCTAAGACTGTTCTTGCTGCTGCTCCTCGTTGCTGCTGCTGCTGCTGCTGAGCCCTGCGCTGCTGCTGCTGCCAGCTACGCGAAACAGCTGCTGCTGCTGCTCGAGCCCCGGGCTAGCCGGGGAGCCCACGGCGGCGCTGCAGCAGCAGCAGCTCTGTGCTGCTGCTGCTGCTGCAGCAATTGAGTCCCCTTGTCCTCAAGGGGCCTCCAGGCTACTTTGGGGGTCCCCCAGCTAGCTATCCTGCTGCAGCAATCAGCTAGCTAGCTAGCTGCTGCTGCAGCAATCAGCTAGCTAGCTAGTTGCTGCTGCAGTCACCAGCTAGCTAGCTAGGCCTCCGCGTGCTCAGAGCCCCCAAGCTGCTGCCGCTGCAGCAGCACGCCACAAGGGCTTTTGCATGCAAAGGCAGTGCAGCAGCTGCGCTGCAGCAGCAGCAGCGCTGCAGCAGCAGCAGCGCTGCAGCAACGCTGCAGCAGCAGCGCTGGGGGCGTCTGTGGGGCTTTGCTGCGGGCTCGCTGCCCAGGGGAGTGCACCAGTAGATCCATTCAAACCCTAAACCCTAAACCCTAAACCCTAAACCCTAAACCCTAGACTCTATAGCCGCTACTGTAGCAGCTCTTGCTGCGCTTGAACTTGCAGCAAACCGGAAGCTACTGGGCTCGGAGCCTCCTTTTGGCCCCGCTGCTGCTGCTGCTGCTGCTGCTGCCGCTGCTGCAGCTTCGGGCTGCTTGGGGTGCTGCAGCAAAGTCTGCAGGGCCTTGCAGCGCCTAAGCGCAGCAGCACGGGGGCTGCCCCTGCGGGGCTGCGCAGCTGCTGCTGCTGCGCAAAGTCGCAACAGCACAGCGCTGCTTCCTGCTGCTAGCTGTGGTGGGGTGTCTGGCTGCAGCGCTGAGGTGTACAGACACCTGCGCAGCAAGCTGCAGCAGCAAGAAGGCGCTGCTGCAGCGCAGCAAACGAGCCTTGGGGCGCTGGCTCGAGGAGCAGCGCGGCTGTTTGTTTGCTGCTGCTTCTAATAATATAAAACTTAATAAAATTTGCAATTTAGGAATTTAAAATGAGAGAAAAGGCGCTGCTGCAGGCCTGGCCTGGCCTGGCCTGCGGGCTTGCTCCGCTGAGCCCTGGCACCCACGGCGCCGGCTGCGGGCTTCCTGCGTTGCTGCCAGGGACTTCTGTTCTGTTCTTTGCAAAATTAAAAGAATTTAATTAATTTAATTTAACAATTATCTCATTGCATGCAGCCCTTGTTCGCTGAGGCAGCAGCGCAGCAGCGCTGACTGGTCTCGAGAGGATCGCTGGTGGGGCCCCCCGGCCCCGTCGGTTCCGAGGGCTCTGGGCCGCAAGTGGTGTTTCTGTTGAGTTTGTTTTGCAAATTTAATTCTAAAAGGCCCCTCATCCGCTCCAGTTAGCAGCAGCAGCAGCAGCAGCAGCAGCAGCAGCAGCAGCAGCAGCAGCAGCCCGTGGGTGGAGCGGGAGCCGGCGAGGGCCAGTCCCAGGCGCTTCTCTCGGATTTCTTTGCTGCTTCTCCGGCCTGCAGCAGCAATTCCAAAAGAGCATTTGAGTCTGCATTTGCTGCTGCTTTTCCGCAGCCGCAGCAGCAGCAAGATGCGTGCGCAGCGGCTGCTGTGGCCCATCCTTGCGGCTCTCCTGGGGGCCCCTCTGGGGGCCCCCACGGGGCCCCCCGGGGGCCCCCCCGCGGGGCCCCTGGGGGCCCTTGCGGTCGCCGTGGGGGCCCCCCATGGGTCCTGGGGCCCCCCGTCGGGTCCAGAGCCGGGGCAGCAGTCGGTGGCCCCCGTGGGGGCCCCTGTGGAGGCCCCCGTGGGGGCCCCCGTGGGGGCCCCCGTGGGGCTGGGGGCCCCCCCGGGGGGCCCCCCGGGGGGCCCCCAGGGGGCCCCCGGGCGCCGGGGGGGCCCCCGGGAAGAGGAAGAAGCGGCGATTGCTGCAGCACTGGGCCCCTTTTACCTGAGCCCGTCGGAGCAGCAGCAGCGAGGGGCGCAGCAGCGGCGCAGGGCCCTGCTGCTGCACCTGGGTCTTGCTGCTGCTGCTCTGGGGGCCCTCGAACTTGTGCTGCGGGTCTATTTGCTGCCGCTGGCCCACGCGCAGCGCCGCGAGAGCCGCAGGCGCAGCCCCGGCAAGCAGCAGCAGGGGCCCCCCGAGCTGCTGCCGCTGCTGCTGACTTCGCCTCCAGTCTTGGGTTTTGCTGCTGCTGCTCTCGTGCTGCTGCTCTGCAGCACTGCTGCTTTCTACAAAACTCTTTACCAAATCCTCGCCGCCAAAATCGGCTGAGGGGCCCCCCAGTCCACCCGGGGGGCCCCCCGTGCCCTTCAACGCCCAGGCTCCGGGGGCCCCTTGGGGGCCCCTTGGGGGCCCCTTGGGGGCCCCTTGGGGGCCCTTTGGGGGCCCCCGGGGGCCTTTTTGGGGGCCCCCAGGGGCTCCCGGGGGCCCCCAAAGGGGCCCCTTTGGGGCCATTTCAGCCTCCGGGGGGCCCCAGAGGTCTTTGGAGAACACCTGGGGGCCCCCAGAGGCCCTTTGAGGCCCTTAGGAAGATTTAAAGGGCCCCAGAGGCCTTTTGGGGGCCCCAGAGACCTCTAAATGACTTCTAGGGGCCCTTAGGGGCCCCCCGGGCTCTCCCGAGGCCCCTGGGGGCCCCTGGGGGCCCCTGGGGGCCCCTGGGGGCCCCTGGGGGCCCCTGGGGGCCGTGCAAGCCTTGGGGGCCCCCCGAAGCTTCTGGAGGGTCTTTGGGGCCCCTGGGGGCCCCTGGGGCCCAGGGCCGCTGGCTGCTGGGGGGCCCCCCTTTGGAGCCTTCAGGGGCCCCCAGGGACTTTGGCATTTCTCTTTAGATGTGCCTGTGATGTGGGTTGGCTGCTGCAGCAGCTGCTGCTGCTGCAGCTTAAGGTGTCTTTTGTTGATGTGTGGGGGCCCCCCAAGATCCTCGGAGGAGCTTTTAGGGGGCCCTAAGGCTTCTTCTTCTGGGGCCCCCTATGGGGGCCCCTTAGGGGGCCCCTAGGGGGCCCCTTAGAGGGCCCCTTAGGGGGCCCCTAGGGGGGCCCTTAGGGGGCCCCTAGGGGGCCCCTAGGGGCCCCTGCAGTGGCTACAGGGGCATCTGGGGTCCTGGGGGTTTGCATAAGAAGAAGGGTTTTATGAGGGTTTAGGGTTTGTTTGGAACTGGAGATGGAGGCCCCGCGTTCGATTCCTGGTAAAGCTGCTGCTGCAGCAGCAGCAAAGCAGCAGCACAGCAGCAGCTGCAGCAGCAAGGCCGCAAAGCGATAGCAAAGCAGCAGCGCAGCAGCAGCTGCAGCAGCAAGGCCACAAAGCGATAGCAAAGCAGCCGCAGAGCAGCAGCTGCAGCAGCAAAGCGATAGAAAGGCAGCAGCTGCAGCATCAAAGCAGCAGCTGCAGCAGCACAGCAGCAGCAGCAGCTGCTGCTGCTGCAGCAGCAGAACTGTGACGAAGGAGGCCCCAAGGATGAGTCGGGCCAGTAATATGCACTTATATTTAGGCTAGAAAATTAGCTGCTGCTGCTGCTGCTGCTTGGGGCCTTTTTTGTTTGCTGGTGCTGCAGCTGTTGGCGCTGGTGAAGCAGCAGCAGCAGCAGCAGCAGCAGCAGCAGCGGCAGCCGCACCTGCAGCAGCTGCAGCAGCAGCTGCTGCAGCAGCGGCGCCCGCTGCACCGCCTCATGCCTTGTCTTTAGGCAATTTGTATTCTTAGGCTGCAGCACTAAGACACAAGAAAGGGTTTGAAGCAGCAAAATAGGGTTTGGGGGCCCCTTTAGGGGCCCCTATTTGCAGCAGCTAAGGCACGAGGGGCCCCGGGGGCCCCCCTGCTTAGGTTTTGTTGCTGCCCACGCTTGGGGCCCCCATGGGGGCCCCCAGGGGCCCCTCCTCCAGGGGGCCCCCTGTCTCAAGGGGGCCCCTACCTCAGGGGGGCCCCTATTCCAGGGGGGCCCCTGCCCCAGGGGGGCCCCTGCCTTAGGGGGGCCCCTCGCTTAATGGGGCCCCTTCCTTAAGGGGGCCCCCTCCCAAGGGGCCCCCAGCTGAGTGTTTGGCTTTTCTTGCTGGGCCCTTTCCCGGGGGCCCCTGGGGGCCCCCTGGGGGCCCCCTGGGGGCCCCTGGGGGCCCCTGAGTGGCTCTAGTTGCGCATTTTTGTGCTGCCCTTTTATATTTAAATTGTGCAACTTATGCATTTTTGCAAATTGTAAATAGAAGTTTAAAAAGGCCTGGAGGCGCTGAATATAAATTAATTTGTATTGTCTAGATGGGAATAGAGATAAACTTCTTTATAAGTATATTTATATATATCTATATATATATATATATATATATATATATATATATATATATATATATTGAGGATATATGTAAATATGTATGCGTATATATGCATATATATGCATATTGTGTATATAGAAATATATATATATATATATAGATGAATGTACATATTGTATATATATAAATATTATGTATATATATATATATATATAAGGATATATAGGCATATAGGTATAGACTTATACGAACATCTGCACATAAACTTTACTTATATGAATCCACTTGGACTTATTATTTATATTTATATTTGCCCAGCTCCTCCCAATTCCTTTGGGGCCCCAGCGTGGGGGCCCCCAGGGGCCCCGCGGGCGCATGCAGAGTCCCCTTGGGGATGGGGGCCCTTAGACCCCCTGTGGGGCCCCTGCGGGGGCCCTGGGGCCCCTGTGGGGCCCCTGCAGGGGCCCTTTGTCCCCCTGTAGGGCCCCTGTGGGGCCCTAGGGGGCCCCTGTGGGGACGCTGCAGAGACCATGGGGGCCCCTGCGGGGGCCCCTGCGGGGGCCCCTGCGGGGGCCCCCGGGCCCCCCGTCGGGGCCCCTGTGGGGCCCTTGCGGGGGCCCCTGTGGGGCCCCGCAGGGGCCTCCTGTGGGAGCCCCTGTGGGGGGGCCCCATGGCCACGTAGACCCTGGGAAATCTCCAAAGGACTCAAGGGCGCTGCAATTGGCTCTTTTTGGGTCCTTTTTTAGGACCCCAAGGGCCCCAATTGGCCGGCCATTGAAGGCCAAGCAACTCTTAAAAATAAGACCGCGGGGGGCCCCCGGGGCCCTTCAGGGGGCCCCTGGGGGCCCCCCTAGAGGGGGCCCCCTTCGCGCTAAGAGGCCCTTAGGGGGCCCCAAGGGGCCCCTGGGGGCCCCCAGGTGCTGGGGGGCAGGTAAGTATCCTGGTCTTACTATCTGTTGTGGTAAATATTATTATTACTTTTATTATTATTATTATTATTATTATTATTATTATTATTACTATTATTATTACTATTATTATTATTATCATTATTGTTATTATTAGTTTTATTTCTTTTCGTTATAACGGCTGTCAGGAAATGCCAGCCTGCAGCCACTGCGTCATTTCGCTATGGGAGAAGACACAGGCAGCAGTAGTACCCAAACGAATGCCACGCAGCAGCAGCAGCAGCAGCAGCAGCAGCTGCTGCTGCTGCTGCTGCTGCATAGCACTAGTAATTGTTCGTTTGCGCCTTGATGCTGCATGAGTCTCTCCAGTGGTCCTGTTAGCCTTTTTGCATGCACTTATATTTGCATGCATATATATATGTATATTTGCATGCATATATATGTACATTTGTACACCCCTGAGCCAAAGGGGCCCCCAGGGGCCCCCTGGGGGCCCCCAGGGGGCCCCCAGGGGGCCCCCTGTAGAGCCGCAGCAACCAGTACCCTCTTAGCTTATTCTATAAAGCGCATGCAGCAAGTGGCTGAGGGCCCCCTGGGGCCCCCGGGGGCCCCTGTTGCTGCGGAGGGGAGGGCTGTGGCTGGCTTTCTAGCAGAAGGGCTCTTCTTGGATTTAATAATTGCTTTTAATTAATTAATTGCTTCTAATTGGTATTATTTATTTATTAATTTGGTTTCAATTAGAAGAACTTCTGTACCTTTTACACTTGTACTGCCAGCGGCTGTAGAAGCCGCCTTGGCGGCTCGCTGTGGGGCCCCAGGGGCCGCTTGAGTTCTTATTTGCTGCTGCTTTGAGTTATGATGACTTTTGCCTTAAGTGCTTGGGGAGTTTTAGCTGCTGCTGCTGCAGGCGTCTGGGGTGTTGTTCGTACGGTAGCGTTAACTGCAGCGGAGGTGCTGCAGCGCCGAGTGCACTGGATGAATTCAGTTGATTTGGTTAATTTGTTAAATTAATTTGTTGAATTTATGAATTTAATTTAATTTGATTTCTTTTTACTGAAGTATAAAGCGAAGATAGCGGGGAATTGGCGGGCCGTTCGCCGGCAGCGCGAGGTGTCTGCTGGTGGCGGCTGCGCCTGCAGCTCAGGAGCAGTTTGCAGTAACTTTTTGCAGTTTTTCATTTTTAAAAATAAATTTGAATAAATAAATTCATTTTTAATTAATTTTTTGCACTTTGCTGCAGCGAAGAAGCGGCTGGCGGCCGGGCGGGCGCCGCGAGGCTCCCCGCCGCCGTCACGCAGCAACCCCACCGCAGCCGCTGCGCAGCCCCCCCACTTCTGTGGCTTCTTTGTGCAAATTAAAAGGCTTTTTGGGTTATTTTTTGTTCTTTTTTCATTAAAAAGTTCTTTTTTGCGTTTATACGCCTCTTAGAACCCTCGCGGGGGCCCCTGGCTCGAGGATCCGCGCAGCCTCGCTGGCTCCGGCTCCGCCTTCTTACCTTTTCAATACTGCAGCGAGGCTGCAGCAGCAGCAGCAGCAGCAGCAGCAGCACCGCATTTCCCAAGGCCCCGCGTCTTCACTAGCTGGCCCTGGCGCCCCCTGCTGCTGCTGCTGCTGCCTTGCTGCACCCACAGCCCAATTGGCTGCTGCTTCGCGCAGGCTGCAGCCGCAGCTCAGTTTCTTGCAGGCCCAGCGGCAGCAGCAGCGCAGCGCCGCAGAGCAGCAGCAGCAGCAGCAGCGCCGTGGACAGCGAGCAGCAGCAGCAGCAGCAGCAGCAGCCAACCCCGCAGCGTCTCCAGAGCCAAGCGCCCCCCCGCAGCGCCTCCGCCCCCACGAGCCCCCGCCGCAGCAGCCGCAGCCCCACCAGCAGCAGCAGCAGCAGCAGCAGCAGCAGCAGCAGCAGCAGCAAGAAGCTGCCCAGCCGTGGGGCAGACTATGTGCTGGACAGCGTCTTCTTAGGGCCCATTCAGATAGGGGCCCTCGCTTTTGAATTTGCTGTCAATCCCCCAGACTTCACGCAGGTGCTGCTGCTGCTGCTGCTGCTGCTGCTGCTGCTTGTTGGCTTCTGCTGCTGCTGCTTCTGCTGGTTTGCTGCTGCTGCTGCTGCGCCGTGTCGAAGCGAGCAGACCCCCGCCTCTTGCGCAAAAGGATTAGAAGCAAAACGATATATCATTTATTTATTTATTTATTTATTTATTTATTTATTTATTTATTTATTTATTTATTATTTATTTATTTATTTATTTGCAGATGGACAGAGGCAGCGTGGAGGGCATGCAGGCGGTGCTGGTGTGCGGCGGCATGCAGGCGGTGCTGGTCTGCGGGCTGTACGAGGGCCGGGAGTTCATTCGCATTGGCTATTATTTGAACAATGCTTACAGGTCTTTTTGATTTATTTCATTTTAATTTCTTTTTATTTTCATTTTATTTTGTTTTTAATTCATTTTTAATTCAAATTAAATCCTTTTTGTTCTTTTATTTCCTCCTCGGCCGCTCGCTCCTTCCTCACCCCCCGCTGCGCATTGGGGTGTACGTACACCTCAGTTTTGCTTCCCTGCACTTGCCTGGCAATTCGTTTAATCTTTTCATTCCATTTTGTATTCTGTTGTTTATTTTATTTATTTTATTTTGTTTATTTTATTTTCTTTACTTCCAACTGCGTCTTCTTTTGCACGGCTAAATACATATATATACATACATACATACATACATATATATATATGTATATATATGTATATATATGTATATATATATGTATGTATATATATATATGTGTATATATATATATGTATATATATATATGTATATATATACATATATATACACACATATATATATACATTTATATATATTATATATGTATACAGATATATATACACATATATATATATATATATACACACATATATATATATATGTATGTATATATATAATGTATATACATTATATATATATATATATGTGTGTATACCAACTTGACAACATATAGTTATAGTTTGACATATGTAAGTATAATCGATATACAGTTGTGCATATATTTATATACATTTACACATATATTTATATTTGTATTTGTACATGCTATACAATATATATATATATATATTTATATATATATATATATTTATATTTATATTTATATTTATATTTATATTTATATTTATATTTATATTTATATTTATGTTTATATTTATATTTATATTTATACTTAAATATGTATATATTTATATAATATTATAGCCATCAATTTGTGCCCCTGTGGGCATAAATTGCTTATTAATATATTTCCCCTTAGCCACTTTTGTTTATATATAAATGGCCTTACAGCGGCCTGTAAGCTTCTCCTGCGAGGCTATATTTACATATATATATTTATACATTGATAGGCCTTTATATTTGTTTATTTATTTATATATTATATATTTTTAT